ACAAGTCTATCCTTAAACCATGTTCTTTACAACATAAAGTCCTAAGTGAAAACCTTAGGCACATTAAAATCCTGAGTGAAAAACATTAGGTATTTCAAAATCTTGAGTGCAATTTGCCGTTCGTAGGGTTTTAGTTCCTAGGTGTACTTTCTGGGTTTTAGTCCCTAGGCAAATCTTTGACGTTCATAGGGTTTTAGCCCCTAGGCGTTTCTTTAAGCTGTTGTTCCTATTGCCGTTCATAGGGTTTTAGCCCCTAGGCGGGATCTTAGCTGTTCATAGGGTTTTAGTCCCTAAATAGAATCTTCGACATTTATAATGTTTTAGTCTCTAGGCGTTCCTTCTGGGTTTTATTCCTTTTGCCGTTCAATAGTGTTTTAGCCCCTAGGCGGAATCTTCGACGTTCATAGGGTTTTAATCCCTGGACGTTCCTTCAAGGTGTTGTTCCTATTGCCATTCATAGGGTTTTAGTCCCTAGGCGGAATCTTAGCTGCTCATAGGGTTTTAATCCCTAGGTGGAATTTCCGACGTTTACAGGGTTTTAGTCCCTAAATGTCAATACAGAGTCTTTTTCTTTGCACGGTGAGCTTCTGCAGCCCGGAGCACTCCTTCGACCTGGCGAGCTTTCGCAGCCCAGAGTCTTTTTCTTTGCACGGCGAGCTTCTGCAGCCCGGAGCACTCCTTCGACCTGGCGAGCTTTCGCAGCCCAGAGTCTTTTTCTTTGCACGGCGAGCTTCTGCAGCCCGGAGCACTCCTTCGACCTGGCGCGCTTTTGCAGCCCATAGTCCCTTTCTTTGCACGGTGAGCTTCTGCAGCCCAGAGCACCCCTTCAACCTGGCGAGCTTTCGCAGCCCAGAGTCCTTTTCTTTGTACGGGGAGCTTCTGTAGCCTGGAGCACCCCTTCGACCTGGCGAGCTTTCGCAGTCTAGAGTCTTTTTCTTTGCACGGGGAGCTTCTGCAGCCCGGAGCACCCCTTCGACCTGGCAAGCTTTCGCAATCCAGAGTCTTTTTCTTTGCACGGCGAGCTTTTGCAGCCCGAAGCACTCCTTCTACCTGGCGAGCTTTCGCAGCCCATAGTCCTTTTCTTTGCACGGGGAGCTTCTGCAGCCCGGAGCACCCCTTCGACCTGGCGAGCTTTCGCAGCACAGAGTCTTTTTCTTTGCACGGCGAGCTTCTGCAGCCCGGAGCACTCCTTCGACCTGGCGAGCTTTCGCAGCCCAGAGTCTTTTTCTTTGCACGGTGAGCTTTTACAGCCCGGAGCACCCCTTCGACCTGGCGAGCTTTCGCAGCCCATAGTCCTTTTCTTTGTACGATGAGCTTCTGCAGCCCGGAGCACCCCTTCGACCTGGCGAGCTTTCGCAGCCTAGAGTCCTTTTCTTTGCACGGGGAGCTTCTGCAGCCCGGAGCACCCATTCGACCTGGCGAGCTTTCGCAGCCCAGAGTTCTTTTCTTTGCACGGTGAGCTTCTGCAGCCCGGAGCACCACTTCGACCTGGCGAGCTTTCGCAGCCCATAGTCTTTTTCTTTGCACGGTGAGCTTCTGTAGCCCGGAGCACCCCTTCGACTTGGCGAGCTTTCGCAGCCCAGAGTCCTTTTCTCTCCACGGTGTGCTTTTGCAGCCCATAACACCTTATCGACCTGGCGAGCTTTCGTAGCCCAGAGTTTATTTCTTTATAAGGTGAGACTTTATTTAGCCAAAAGCCCATTCTTACACGGTATGGCAGGTATCAAAAAAAAAAAATCAATCATCTCTCATGCATCTTCCCATGCCCTCTATGAACAAAATTTAAGTGTCTCTTATCTTTGAAAGGAACCTCTTCGAGCTCCCCTTCAAAGAGGAGCAGCTGTTGATACCTAAATTTTGCTCAATCATTTAGGGTTTTATCGCATAAAAAATTAGGGTTTAATTTTTAACCACTAAACAAAAAAATATTTTCATTAAATTGCATGGCATATAGACATTAGGCACATTTGCATTAATAGGGCCTATTAAAACATATTCGTATAAAAATAAATAAATTTCTGGGCCAGGTCAGTAGGCCCATTTTGTTTCTTTTCTTTCACGCGGCCCATCTCTTCTTTCTTTCCTTTATTGCATGTTCTGCGTGGGCCGGCCCTTTTCCCGTCGGCCCGGCCCGCACGCCCTTTCTTCTTCTCCCAGTCAACGCTTTTGAAGCGTGCGGGGGAGACGAACAGTAGTAGAACGCAGAAGCAGAATGCATAAGCCAGAACAGAGGCCAGCGGTGCAGGGGGGCAGCGTGATCCCCGGGTCGGCAGATCGGCCGGCCATGACAAGCTGGCGGTGGCAGGAAGCCATGCGCGCCTGCCGTGGCCTTTAAGAGGCGATCCGAGGGAGAACAGAGAGAGCGAGAGAGCCAGAGGGAGTTCCGAGGGAGAGAGTTCTACAGAGAGAGAGTTCCGGAGAGAGAGTGAGAGGTCGAGACCGAGGGGTCCTTTGCCGGCGACCGCCGTGCCCAAGTCGCGGCCGACGATCCTCTGTCACGGTAGGTCCCGGTCCCGAGCGCTCGCCGGGTTTTGTTTCGGTTTGGTTCGATTCGGGGTCGGTCTCCCGAGGATCCCGGCTCGCAGGTGTGCGAGGCGTGCGGATGTAGCCAGATCTACCGCGTTCGCCCTCCATTCGCCACCGCCGAGTCGGGTAAGGAGTGTCGCAAGGAACCGCCGCCCCTGTTTTTCTTTGTACTCTGTTTTTGGGGCTCACTGGCCGGAGCTTGCGGCCATCCGGCTCGCGCGAGTTCCGGCCCGTGACACCTCGGGCTCGGTCCTGCTTGTCTGTGCATTGTTGTGTGTGAATCTCGGACGCGTTTGGGTCTCGATCGAGCCTAAAATCCTTCGTTTTCGTCGCGCGCTCCAACTGTTTGATGTTATGCACGAAAGAGATCCGGTTTCTGTCCTTTGTATCCCCGAAGCTTGGTGTCTCTCTCTCTTCCCTCACGGTGTCTTGATTGCTCGCTGAGCTTGGTGTGGAGGTTTTGGTGTGTCGCCGACGAACGAGGTCGGTCCGCGTTCATCGGTACACGACCAGGGGCTCGTTTTGGCCAGTCCCCTGTCGGGGCTCGGCCGGTTCGTGGCCGGCGACGCACGAGCAAGGAGCTCATTTGGGGGCCGGTCCCTCGTCGGGGCTCAACCGGTTCGTGGCCGACCATCCCCTCATCGGAGCTTGGTCAGTTCGGGTTCAATCGCCGTTGGCTGCGGATGCCGGGGCTCGATAGAAGATAGGACTAGAAACCCCCCGGCCGCGGAGGCTGGGGCTCGGTAGAAGACCGGACTAGAAACCCCTCGGCAGCGGAGGCTGGGGCTCGGAGAAGCTGGCGTTCCGGCCAGCCGGCGAAGGAGACGACTTGTGCGAGTCGGAGCGGCGGCCGGCGCTCCGGCCATGGGGTTGAGTTTCCCGGCCACGAAGGCCGGGGTTCGGCGAGTGGCGGCCAAGCATGGGCTCGGCCGCCGGACCGGAAACCCTGACCGCGGAGGCCAGGGCTCGGCGGGCGTCGGCCGGGGAAGGCGCTCCAAGCCGGAGCAGCGGCCGCTTTCGGGTCGGGCGTTAGGGTTTTCAGCGAGTCGGGTCGGCGGCTTACGGCCGGGTCGGGTTCGCGGGTCGAAACCGGGTAGGGCTTGGCGTTAGGGTTTTGTTCGAATGGGCCGAATAGGTTGTGGGCAAGAGTATTTAGGGTTTTGGTGTTTTATTTTCTTGATTGGGCTTTGGGCTTTAATTTGTTTTAAATTTTTTTTTTTCCGGGCTGGGCCCTCTTTCTAAAGAAAAAGAATTTTCGCCACACCGGGCTCAACAAATGAGCCTGGTCCGGTCGTGGACCCGGGCTTGTGCGTCCGGGTCAGTGCTGATCCGGGTCGGATGTGGAGGTCCAACCCGGATCCGATTTTATATTATTTTAGTAATATTTTATTATTTAAATATTACAAAAATTTAATAAATAATTATTAAAATTTTAAAAAAAAATTTCGAAAATTAAAAAATGTTATTTGGGCTTTGGAATTGGCTTTTTTTTTTTTGCCCTTTTTGCATGAGTAGTGTCATTTTTGATTGCATGTTGCTTGATTCATACACTTTGAATTGTGCGTTTAACTTAACTTCGCATGTGGTCGATTATGCATGTTAGGTTTTGATATTAATTGTTGCTTTCCTTAGCTTAGTTAGGAATGGAATTTTGAGACTCCCGATTAGTGTGAACACGTTAGGTGGTGGATTGAACAAGATTAGGTACCGAAAGGGCACTAATTAGTCAATTAGTGTAATCAAGTCTCCGTACCCATTGAATCTCTGGTTCGCAGAAGTAAAGCATTTCTCTCGTGCTTTACTTGGGTGTCTTATCGACCCACCAAAAATCGATTAGTGGCGACTCCTAGATGAAATTGATTTGCATGTTAACAACTTAAACTTAAGTCGCGAATTGGTATGGGCTTGGGAGAGCTCGAGCTAGGTTTAACTTAGTAGTCCATTAGCCTAACCCCTTAGGCGGCGGGGCCAGTTCGGGGAGGTCGCGACATTGCTGCTCTTTAATGACAAGGTTTAACCCTATTTTTGACTTCGCTTCTGCTTTCAAAGTGTGTTAAAAATTTACTCAAGCTACCTTAACTTTTTGAAAGTAGAGACAAATGCAATAATTTATAATGCTACAAAACGGATGATTAAATTGAGTTTATACATTGAAAGAATAAGTTCATGTCCAAATCACAACCTTTACTTAGAGTTATAAATCTTGAGAGCCATGACCCCCGTTTCTATGTGCAGAGGCTTATGATACACGTGAATGAGACGGTTTGTGTGCATTGTTATTGATTAGTTGAACCATAAAATTCCAATATCCTTTGTTAATTACAAATATAAATATGTTACATGTATCACACACGTATACATGTATATGTCCCTAAGCTAGGATTCGAAAGGCTGAAGGCAGATCGATTATTCTGGTCACTTCCTTCTTCTTCATTTTCATACCCTCAGAAGGTGTGGGATGTTACACCTTATCCATGGAAGACCATGAGCCAGATTGGAACTTTGCCTCGTGGACGCGCACCACCGCCTCCACTACCACCTCTCCACTAGGGAAGAGGGTGTTCTCAGGAGCTCCTCCGCAAGCACCACCGAGAATGTCGCCACTCGTCCCGAAGCTGGTGTTCTCGAGCACCATTATTAGCTCCAGACAGCTTCCCCAACCCCTTTCGGAATCGGCGGAACCGATCAAGGAGATGGCTTTCGTGACATTTTTAATGCCTTGCAAAACTGTCAACTTATCGACACAGCAAGAGGGGAAGCTGAGGATCTACCAGAACATACTGTACCACTTTCTTGGGACATCTTATGCAACCCAAACCAAGCTGAAGCGAGTGGAAGTGGAAGCAAAAGAAAGAGCAATATCGAAATGGATGATCAGCGACAATGCAAAAGCGCCGGACACAGTGGCGAGCGGGTTTGAATTCGGATATTATCGTGTCGCTGCTGAAAAATTAGGAACACACCAATCAAGGTCCCATCTTTGTTGCTGCCGCTAAACTAAGTTACTTGATATGTTGTGATTGTAGGACGCTGATCGTGGGATGCGCGAAAAATTGGAGGATCAAAGGAAGGCTAGGGTTAGAAGGACGCGTTCTGCGGAACAGCACGACATGTCTGAGAGGGTTAGAGTATGAGCTTGTTACGAGGGTTCTCTTTTCTCGAATTTACATTTGCTTTATTTGAAGCTCCTTTTCTATTGGAGTTTACATTGTGATCAAACAAAAAAACACACGTAGAAACGGAGGGGCCGAATCAAGGACAAGATCAAGACGCTTCAGCAACTCATACCCAACTGCAGCAAGGTAATCATCCAAAAGCAATATTTACCATTTTTCTCTCTTCCATGAAATCACGTGCACGTTCAGCCGCCTGCTCTCGTTTCGACGACGCGAACATTTACCATCTTCCCTCATCATGTGGTGAGGAAGAATTGGCTGATCATGGGGCGGAAAGTCATTGACGAATGTCATGGCTGTGCACTTCGTACGAGGCATATTGTCTAGTTAATTGGTGGTGAGTTATGTAAACGAGAGGTCTAAACAATTTAACTATACAGTCTAGCTGGGGAAGTTTTACATGAGAGGATTACTCTACCCGGGGATTGTCTTGATGTTTTTTCTCTCAAGTAATTGTACCTTAGAAAAAGAAAATCACTAGATCTTGATGCTGCATGAGCTAGGGTTGATTGCTCATTAAACATTCAGCCAGTTGATGCGTGTTTTTCTTTTTCGGCTTTGCTCCAGTCCGACAGAGCTTCAGTGCTAGACGATGCCGTTAAATACCTCAAAAGATTGAAGCTCCAAGTTGAAGTAAGTGTTTCTCTCTCGTGCACATCTTTGCTCGAAAGTTATCTACCGATTATTATGATGCTATAAGGATTTTATAGCTAATACACGGACATACCCGATTAGATTGCAAAATGACACCAATAGTTATCGTTGAAAGTATTTAGTTATTTAACCGTTCTTTGATCTTGCCGTTTATATTTGGCAATAAGTTGAGTGATCATATAATTCTATACGTATATGATTTACGCATGTCTTATTGGTGAGAGCTAGGTTCCCATTCTTTCATAATTGCTTCAACTTATCATATGAAGTGTATCCTACTTCCCTATCTCATGGGTGTATGATTAGTCTACAATTAGTCTAATAGACTCAGAATGGGATTCTTCTGCCTCTTCTTTTGTTCTATTTTGATGCATCACATCTCCAATTTTGTGTCAGATGTCAGCCATGGGAGCCGCGGGAGGAGCTTTGACCCTCAATCCATACATGTCACCGGCAATATCGGCGACCGGGATTGATAACATGAATCAAGGTTTGTTCTTGCAAATTCCGAGGCCAATCGTGGTCATGGGACCGTGGTATGGCTTCAACGATACCATGACCGGACTTCCAGTCATGCCCTTCCAGCACTCACCGACGGTTCCGACTTCTCCTTTGCCGGGCCAAGCTGTGTCGTTCCCATCTTTCGATGCGAGACCCCAATGGTTGTCACCGGCAGCTTCGAGCCCCGTTAGCACCAGTTTCTTTTCTCAATTCAACTATTCGACACCGGATGAAGGGGCATCTAGCCACTGGAACTCAAAACCAACGACGTCAACCACTGACCGCCAAGTATCGCCCATGCTGAGCCAGGTTATATTCTATATCACATCAAGTCTCTTCACTCAGCTCTTTATTTGCCTCTTGATAGGCTTCAACGTTAAAAAAAATGGGACATAAATGAATCGAACCACATAGTGAATAGGGGTATAGATCACTGATTTGACAAGGAGATGTTAGTACTTTAATTGTGAAAGTTTATAAGAGCCGAATTCATATGTTATCACTGATTTGGGGCTGGATGGGTTGTTGGTGGCAGTGATATAACGCGCATCTTCAATGATTTCTAGCAGAAATTAAGGATAGTAAGAGTTTTTACATATTAATTATCGCGACAAATTCCTTAAATTTTAAGAAAAAGTGGTACTGAGCTTGAGTTTGCCATCTTTGGTCGGCCCTCGGGGTCCTTGATTTCATTTATCCATTAGGACTAGAGATAGTTAGACATGATATTCCATCGCAATTAGATTGCGAATTAAACAATGTTTAAAATATGCAAGACTTGCAGTAATAGTAACTGCATTGAATCACAGATAGAGATAGAGACAGAGATACGAATACAGAAACATAAGTACATACTGACGGATGGATGTTAATCCATATTTCTTGCAGGCGCACAATGTTGGCGATTCGACTCCTCGTACGCCGGACCATAACGCCTTCTTTGCCGAGAGACAACATTGATGTGGTCGAAGAAGAACTGGGAAAATTGTTTAAAAAGTCATAAACCTATTGCACTTTTGCCAATTCAGTCATAAACCTTTTAAGTTTGCCAATTCAATCCTAAACCTTTTCACTTCTCGTCAATTGAGTCCATTTGATCAATTTTGGCCCGCCAGCGCTGACACGGCTGCCGGCCGGCGCCAGACGTTCGGTCAACGCTGACGTAGTAATTTTTTAATTTTTTTTTCTAATTTTTATTATATTTTTCTTGCCAGAGGGAAGAAGGGCAGAAAAAAATAAGAAAAGAAAAAAAGAAAAAGAAAATTCAAAAATTCAAAAAAAAATTTAAAAAATTGCCACGTCAACGTTGGCTGGACATCCCGTGCCGGCCGGCAACCACGTCAGCGCCGGCCAGCCAAAATTAGCTGGATAGACTTAATTGGCAAGAAGTGAAAAGGTTTAGAACTGAATTGGCTAACTTAAAAGGTTTAGGACTGAATTGGCAAAAGTGTAATAGATTTGGGACTTTTTGGACAATTTTCCTAAGAAAAATTGGGTTAAGTAGGATATGTTCTCTTTCTCTCTCTTCAATTAATTTTCCCATTTTCCATAATAGATCACTTCTTCTTTTTTCCTGCTTTGGCTTGTAGAGTAGGTGGTTTTGAGATTTAACTTTGATTTGTCCGCCTTGCAGGTTCTGGATAGGATAGTGGCTCGGCGATGATGATGTCAACATCTGAAAGAGAAATTTGTTAACAAGCGAATGGTTTCCAAGATTGGGGGAAACAAAGAGCTGAGTTTGATCCTGCTCGCGCCCCCCGTTTTGTTCTTTTTTGTTCTTCCTCGTGCCATTTTCCAAATTCACTAACAGTACAAATATATATATATATATACACACACACACGTGTGTGTGTCATGATATGTTTGTTTCGCAAAACAAGGAATAATGACAAAATTGGATATCCATTTCTACGTTTGGTTCAGCTTTCTCAAGGAGTTTTAGGCTTCTAAAGCATGTTGGGAAAAACTTAGCGTGTTGGACAACCTTCGGGGAAATGCTAGATTTGGCAAAGCTAAAAGCCCAAGGCAGGTGGGGATTTGCCTTGGGCCTTTAGCATTTTCGGAATGCTAGGTGGGGTTTAATGACTTTTTTTTTCCATTCAATTTTGCCCTCATTAGTAATTACGCGTTCCACTCTTACCCTTAAAAAACATTGTTCATTCTTCAAGCCATCGTCTCTATGCTCGCTAATTGCTGAGTAGTTGAGGTCAAGTTGCTGGTCACCGAGGTCGAGATCTCGTAGGTCTAGGGTTGACATCGAAGTCGCGTAGGTCGAGCTCCAAAAAATCCTAAACCTATTTGTCAATTGAGTCTATCTAGCCAATTTTAACCGAAATTCACTGATGTGAACACTAGTCGTCCGAAGTGGACACCGGTCGTCATGGCATGGTTGGCGCTGACATGGATAATTTTTAATAATATGTTAATATTTCTTTTCGATTTTTAAATATTTTTTTTCTTTTTTTCCTTTCTTCTTCCTCCTTTCATCGGTGATCAGCCACTAGCCACAGGCAAGGCGTGGTGAGGGTCGGCCTCACCCAGGCCAGGGTGGCCTTGTTGAGCTTCGCCTTTGCCTGGGCAATGCTTGGTGAGGCTGCCTTGGCTTAGGCGAGAGCCGGCCTTGCCAAATCTGGTGAGGGGAGCCCTCACCGGGGATTGACCTCACCCGGAGGGGCCTTGCCTATGGCTGGTGACGACGACCCTTGCCTAGGCTAGGCCAGCCAGCCCGCCTGGGCATGGCCGGTGGTTGGTCTTTGGCAAAAGGAAGAAGAAAGGAAAGAAAAAGAGAAAAAAAATAAAAAAAAATAAAAAAGTCAAAAAATTATTAAAAATTATCAATGTCAATGTCGGCCGTGCCACATAGGACGGCCGGCATCCACGGTAGTGAATTCAGGCCAAAATTAGCCTAATAGATTCAATTGGCAAAATTGAAAGGTTTATAACTGAATTAGAAAAAGTGCAATAAGTTTAAGATTTTTTGGACAATTTTTCCGCTATCTTGATATTGAAGGAATAGGAAATAACTATTTTATCAAGGAATAGACCGGGGATGGATAGTGTATTTTGTGCGCTGGCATTTTAGTCGAAAAGCCATATTCTCTCGTTCTTTTTTTCCTTTGATTGACGAGGACGATGATGACTTCAAGTTAATTATATACTTCGACCAAAAAAAAGTTAATTATATACTGGAAATCTTACTAAAAACAAAGTGAATGACCTCATCCTCATTAAATTCACCAGTGATTACGTTTCGCATCATTTAGGGGATAGCATATTGCATTACTACGTCGTAGAATTTTGCAGTGTTGTCTCAAAAAATGCAAATTTTTCTCATGCTGGTAAATTTCAATAAGTGTCAAAAAATGATTGTCAATTTTGTTACTGACTCAACTTTCTTTTTCAAATTACAAATTTTTATACTAGCTTGCTAATTTTTATTTGCATAGACTAATGATATTTCTAACTTTTTATATGAAATGATAAAAACAATAACTTTTATGAAAATTGTCGGCTTGGAATTGGGATAATAATACAAATGGTCCATGAACTTAGGTTTAATATGCAATGTCGTCCTCGAACTTTTAATTTGTGCAATATGATTTTTGAACTTTGGCCCAATGTACAATATCGTTCCTACACTTTTAATTTGTTCACTGTGATTCCTGAACTATTGAAAAATGTTCAATGTAATTTCTAAACTATATGAAAATGTTGAAAAGTTCAGGAACAACATTGAACATTAGACCAGAGTTAGGGACCATATTAAATAAATTAAAAGTTTGAGTACAACATTGCTCATGGGACCAAAGTTTAGTGATCACATTGAACAAATTTCAAGTTCAAGGACGACATTACATATTGAACCAAAGTTCATAAATCATTTGTGTCATTTTTCCTTTGGTATCTCAGCAAATTTATCCACTTACTTAAAACGAGGTTGCGGCGGGGATGGCTGGCCTCGAAGGAGCTGCCCCGGATTGGTGGAGGTGGCGGCCAGCGATGGGAGATGGTGGCCATTGAGCTAGGCTGAGTGTCTGGGCGTGGGTGGTGTAAAGTTAAGGTTGTGGGGATCTTTACACAAGAAACGGTAATTAGGTCATCTTACTTAGCAGATGTATGTAATTATTGATTTCGAGAATGGAGCTACTTTCTTTTGTCCTGAATTGAAAAGCAAGGTATGATTTGGATATTTTTCCTAATAAGGAGTTATCTTTTGAAAAAGCGCTACAAAATTTCAAAGATTGTGATGTTATTTATCCCGATGGGAATCATTCTCTTGCGACACGAAATCTTTGACCATTTGACCCATCGGAGGATTCAATGATTGCTAGTATGGCATGTGGAATTGGCACTATATCGATAATTATAAGGCAAGGTGGTAATGCACAAAAGTCATACTTGTGTAGTGATTATTGAATTTCACGTTAATTCAAAATGATTTCTACAGACGGTTTTTTCTTTCTTGATGTATACACATGCTATTTGATTCAGCCTTCAGGAAACAAACTTAATTTTCGGATGGACAATTATGGGGAAGGCCATGATTATCAGAAGCAACAAGTTCATTTGTTCCCATGAGAGCACCGAATCATGTGCCATGAGAAGATATCATAGGAAACTGATAGAAATTAAGCTTTCATAGGAACCGATTATTTACTTAACTTAACATGAGATCCGAGCAAGGGGTCTCCAGTTCGATGCATCACACAATCTTTCACTTATATGTGAGGATTTCAACAACCCCATTCACCTTCATGCATTGGGTTCTCATGCTTTAGGTAAACCCCGACCCGATCGTATTTTGAACGATCTAAATCATCAAAGCAAAATAGTTTCACACTCAAGTAAAGCATTCGAAGTGCGGCTTGAATCTGACATATTGGGTGAAGGGCCCTGGTACTGTTAGAAACTTTGTTCGCTCTCGTGATGTGATTTCAAAGTAAGCTGTCTTTTGTTCAGTTAATGATTCAAGAATTGATCACCTAAGATATCATAGAGAATCAACACAAATGAGTGAATTGCCTATATACTAAGTCAAAAAAGCCATTGAATTCCTAATGACACGGGTAATGATAGTCTTGGGCCCCAGTAATCACCATTTCCTCCACAAAAGTAAACCCATCTTTGCTCCATTTAGCCCCCACACTTATCGCCATGAACCCTTTTTCCCACTCACGAATCTCACGCCCCAACTTTATCATCATGACCACAATAATAACACAGATTAACTTGGAATCTCGCTATGGCTAAAAAGAAAGAAAAAAAGACAATATCCAATAGTGGATCCAAAGGAGCACTAGATATAAATTGGAGGGGTTGCATTTCCACCCAAGTGCACCTTCTTCCTTCTTTGTCCCTCACTTCCTTAGAAGAGAGGTTGAAAAACTTGAGAACATGTCCAAGTACATCTTGTTCATCGTCCTGATGGTGTTGTTCGCGAGACTGGAGTCGTCGATGGCGGTCACTTGTAACCCACTGGAGCTGAGTTCATGCGCGAGCGCAATAACCTCCGCTAGCCCGCCATCAGCCGTGTGCTGTGCCAAGCTCAAGGAGCAAAGGCCTTGCCTTTGCCAGTACATGAAGAACCCTAACCTCCAGAAGCTCATCAACTCTCCTAATTCCAGGAACGTGGCAATCAAGTGTGGCTCTCCATTTCCCTCCTGTTGATCTCTCTAGTCGTCGTCTCTCTAGTGGGGGTTGCCTCTCTAGTAGCGGTTGCTTTCCTGGTGTTGGGTCGGAATCTTGCGCTCGTAGTAGCTGTGCAACATCGTCGTCAATGCTGATTACCCGGTGGTTGTGGAACTTCTAGGTAGTATCATCATTGTACCGACTAAATAAAGGTTTAGGTATCTCCCGTGTTACCCATTTTCGGAACAGTAATCTATAAGTGCAATTTGTGCAATTTGTACTCTCTACACATGACCACACCCATGTGACCGAGCCATTATTGCTCACCAAGACGAGAGTCGGTACAACGAGAAAATGAACTTGATACAATGTGAGCGACTGATTCGAAGATATCAGCCCACGATTGCAGAGACCCACTTGGTCAATGATTCTTAAACCGTAGTTGCAACTGCTCCGATGAAATTGGAAAAAAAATCAGCCATAAAAAGGGACAATCATAATATTTTATTTCCTATAGAAGACAGCCAAAAAAAGAAAAGAAGAAGACAATCATCAGCATCTGTTGAGTTGGATCATGGATGCAGCTTCTAAGAAAACATATGAAGTCACTAAACAGATACTGATTCTGATCCTTCAGAAAAATTCATGCGCACTCATCGAACTACCATGCCCATAAGCTTTCCCCGAACCAAGCATTGACTTGGCAAACAACGGCTAAAAACGATTATACAACTACAATCACGCAATTCGATTTCAACTACACATCTTGAAGGAAACTGCACTGGCGTTGAAAACTAAAACGAGGCAATTATCACTTGAAAGATCAGAAGACAGAGTATATGATTCTTGGGTGAAAGATTCATTCCAATATGCTTCAAGAAAAGAAACACGCAATTTGCCTAGGAGCTAAAGGCAGCAGGACCAGGTAGCCAACCGTGAGATTTGAGATTTGAGCTCCAGGCACGACAAGTAGTCTAGAATCAAATGAAAATTAAGCATGTACACTCTTGAGTCAGTAAATGGAATATGTCCCAAACCACAACACGAACATATGCATATATATTGCGGGTATATATAAAGAGAGAACAAAGAGTCTAACTCTGACATACTCGGATATCAACCACTGACTATTACAGGCATTAGTTTTCCGACCAAGAGACCAAAATTATACCCCCTTACATCATCATCAGACCAGGATTACGCTTTCTCAAATCCACCATTATTCTGATGATGTTGCTGTTGCTCAGTATAATTGGATGTAGCCATGCCAAGACCTTCATTCCGATGCTTCTCCCATCCTCCTGTATCAGCTCTTGAGTGAGCCCAATAGTAAGCTACCGAACCGATTAATGACAACAATGTCAGAGCAGCACCGGCTGCAAATACACCTTTGCGAAGAGTGGCACAAGATATATCGTCTCCACCAAATATTCCTCGGTACTTTGTGTGGTATGCATTTTTTGCTGACCCAGCCAGTAAGCAAGCTTCAGCTCCCAAAAAGGTCACCCTATACTCTCAAAGTTATTGAGTATATTAGAATTGAAACTGCCGACAGGTTTCTGTTCAAGGAAAGTAAGACAAATTTTTTTCCCAGGAATTAATTGCAGAGGCTTTTTACACCATTCCGTCTTAGGAAGAAAAGAGAAATAAAAAGATGACATGAGTTTAAAGTGTGAACTCCAACAAGCCAGTAGATTCTACTAAAACTATCTAGCAGTTCTATTACTCTTATGATGGACCTTTTTATTGGGAGAGCACATGGTATATGTATTATTATGTCAGCAGAATGAACAATCAATAGATGGTAGCTTGGGGCAATGGCAACGTCATGCAAATCCTGCTGGTAAAAGTTTGTTATGTCAACAGCACAAACAATGTAGATCTATGCTCCAATAGGGTAATACAACTAATAGCTTGAGTCTCAAACTTGACTCTACATTGACACTCGGGTTTCAATCCTTGATTTGAGCTTAATGTAACTCTACTTTCATGGTTAATATCAAATCAGACAGTGCAATCAACAAACTACGATCATGGCCTTAAGTAAACAAAACCATCATCACCATTGTTATATTGAGCTTAAAACATGAATTGATTAAAAAAAACAACTAGTTACCAACAGCTGTCGCATACTGTTTTGCACATGACATGGATTTGGGTTCTGAAAGATCAACCACTAATTTGCTATATGAAAAGATTTAATCGAGCAATGCACTCAAGGTTGGCTTTATCCTGCTCATTCAGACCTCAACAGCAACAAAAGACCAAACTGAAATCACTTTATTCTTCAAAACCAACACTTACTGATAGCTCAAGGTCGACTTTTTACAATGGAATCTTACAAGCAGTCAGTCAGCGCACGCAAGCAACTGGACAACAACGAAAGAATTAATGCCTTTCTGTTGGCGAATAGACCAAAACCCAATTGCTGAAGAACTCTCCATCACTTGAAACAGCCGATATCCATATTCGAATTTGTTAAAATGTAAGTGTCGGATGCTGTTTCTATTTTAGGATGCATTGAATGGTTAAAACATAATAATGATGATGTATAACAAAGCCATTGAGGAGGTGCAGCTTTAATGGAGATGAAAACTTTGGAGGTTGACTGAAGAGGATTAGAGATGCAAACAAACTTCCTCCTTTGCCTGATTAACGCTGAAAGTCTTCACCATGGTTCCTTCGGCTTCCTCTAATAAGACTCCATTGTATTAGCTTTTTGTAATAAGGGAAAAAGAATGGACACAAAGGTTACCAGGGGCTATTAACATGACATATCGGTAGATTCGACAATGCCCTGACTATGACGGGCAAGGTTTAGAACATTCAGGAGGTTGAAACACAATCCATCATACTTGGTACTTTTATGCGGCAGGAGACAAATCCACTTTCCTTCCGTCATTTTCAGCTTCACGGGGACGGTAACTGGAAAAGCCAATTTGTTCTTCATGTTTAAGGAAGGCTATGTAAAAAGCTAGAGAGGAAGACCTTCAAAAGCTGTTTACTCAAAGAGAGCCTCAGAAATTGATTTTAATCAAATCCCACCACAGACCATGACTCTCAAGAAAGCAAACGTTGTGCAGAACAATTTGAAGCTACCAGCTAAAGCACGGAGCAGCAGAAATTGAACAAAGGGCAGTCACTGCCGCATCAATCTTCCGCAAACTAAATTTCCACCGACATCGCGGAGTTCGTCGGTGATTCACATAACGAGCGCCCAATTTCAATGAACATAATACTCGTACAGCCAGGCATTGTGGATCAGACAACTCGCAGCGCGAAGCAAGCAGCAGTTTCGAGCTAAGCCGAAATTACCAGGAAAAGATGAAGAAGAAGATGGCGCAAGTGGTGACGGAGGTCCCGGTGAGGAGGCCTCTGCCGAAGCAGAGGCACTTGGTGACGCCGTTGAGCACCGTCTGGCTGACCAGCAGCAGCGCGAACGCCGACATGCCGTAAATCGTGGACGCATCGGAGTCGTACACGCAGAACGTGCGCTCGTCGTACTCGTCGGGCTTCACCGTCGCCTGCGAGGCGCCAAAAAAGAAAGGGAACCGAAATCAGCAGACGCAACGCCAAAAGCAGACACCCCCAAGGAACACCGCGTTCCGCCAAAACTCCGACGAGAGAGAGAGAGACAGAGAGAGCGAGAGAGAGGGTTACGGTGCTGCGGCGGCGTTCGGCGCCGACGGCGAAGACGAAGGCGATGAGGTGGAGAGCGACGACGACGGCGAGGACGGAAACGGAGACGGCCATTCTTCCACAGCAGCCAGTGGGGACTCACTGACTCACGGACTCGCTCACTGCGAAATATCCTTTTTTTCCTTCGGGGAGCGACGGAGATGGAGAAAAGCGAAAAGGAAAGAGAGGAAGAAGGGAGAAGTAACGATTGCCTGCTTCCACGGCCCATTGCAGCATCCGTGATCACAGCCGTTGATGTTGAGTACTCCGGGGGGCCGAGGATATCGTGACCGAGATGGAGGGCGGGGATTCGCGGGGCGAGATGGAACAAAAGGGTTCGGTTCGGCGGGGTCTTCCCCCCACTGGTGGGGCCCATTTCCTTCCTCTTTTTTTGGGGACCGCTTTTTGACAAACGAGGAAACAGTGTCTGAAACAGACAGCTGGAGCGCCGTTTGGATTCCGGAGGCGCCGCTCCACCTGGACGTGTCGCCAGACGTCGCGGGTCGCGGCGGCCCATTAAGACTTTGCTTTAGTTTTTTAGGGTTTTCATCTTTTCCTTTTCTTTTTGTGCGCGATGTTATTTTTCTGTTCCCCACGAATAAAAAAGGGAAAGTAAAACTCCAATAAATATTCTGAAGGGAAAAAGACAAACGGTCATGAACTTTGGCTCAATATGCAATTTGATCCATGAACTTTTAATTTATATAATATAGTCCTTAAACTTTAACCTAATGTTCAATGTGATTCAATATGATTTCTGGACTTTTGGTACATGTTCAATTTAGCCCATGAATTATATGAAAATATTTAATGTAGTCTTTCCATTAATTCAAGTTCAGGGACTATATTGAATATTTTCATATTGAACATGTACCAAAAGTCTAAGGACCACATTGAACAAATTAAAAGTTCAGGAACCACATTGAACATCAAGTTAAAGTTTGAGGACTACATTGAACAAATTAAAAGTTTAGGGATCAAATTGTACATTGGGCCAAAGTTCAGGGACTGTTTGTGCCATTGTCCCTATTATGAATTTCGTAACGTTAAGTAAATTAACCACTTGATTCGGATGAGGTGATTAGGAAAGAAACGAAAGAATCTGAATAATTATGAGAAAAAAATTAAATAAAAGATTTAAATAATCGCTCGATTTGGATGGAGTGATTGGGAATGAAGCGAGAGAACCTGAATATCTATGAGGAAAAAGGAAATAAAAGATTTTTTTATCAGAGAAATAAAATATTTTTTGTCAAAAAAGAAATAAAAGATTTCAAAATATCAAATTATAATGGTTTTAAATACTAGCGAGTAACAAGAAAGGAAGAGAATAAATTATGCGTAAATATACCTTTAATGTATTTATGAACGAATGTAAAATGAGCAACCAAAATAAAATGAATGTAAAATGAGGGTATAAGTAAGGAAAAAATAAGTTCAGTAAAAATGTACATAAAAAGTTGACCAGACCAACACCTCTTAATCCCTCCTAATCTTTCCTAATTATTTCTTTCCGTACGATTCCTTTCGTCCAAACACGATTGTGTTATTTTTTTTTTATGCCAATAGGCATGTGGCCCTGCTTGCTAGTAGAGTGATTGGGGGTGGAGCTAGAAAGTACCAGGTCCGGATTTCGATTTCCGTGAGCAAGCGCACACACATGTAAAGTAGAAAGTAGTGGATTAAAGAAGAAAAAACCGATTGTGTTTTTAAGATACTTTTGCGTGCCTCTCAATCTTACCCAACAAATGTATTGAAATTCTGAAAATTTTCAAAACATGTAAGATTTTATCGGAAAGATGAAATTAAGTTTCTCTATTAAATTCGCTATGCGAAGATTCTTCTTCTCTGTTTCGTCTCCAATGGTTCCTATAATCCTGGAGCGACAGAGGTGCAGGTTCGAGGATTTTCCTGTGAAGTGATCGATCTGCTTAAGCGGAAGGAACCTAAGTAAGCGTAGCTCCTACAGACCACCATCATTAGGAAGTGATGGGAGAGACTTACCTTACCTGGCCTACTCTTCAAGTCTACAAGTTGACTAGGGTAGAGGTGTACAAAAGAATCGGGAACTACCCAGATATTTCGGGATTGCCCCGATTTCAATTTTTGAGAACCGGTGGGTACCGGTCCGCTTCCTTATTCTAGGTGTGGAATTATCTGCATGCCCACCCTGATCGGACCGATAATATAATAATAAATATAATATATAATATAATATATTTATTTAATTTTTATTTTTTTTTAAAAAGGAAAAATCCTAAATCCGTATATTAAACCTAAATCACTTGATACTCATAGCCTTACATTGAGCCGAGAAACACCTTATTTCGCTTTCGCCTCACTCTCACTCTCATTCTCTCACTCTTCTTGATCGATGCTTACCTCATTGCTCGGGACTGCCCCGGTTCCAATTTTTGAGAACCGGTGAGTATCAGTCCGGTTTCTGGTTCTAGGTGTAGAACTACCCGCTTATCCACCCTGATCGGATCGATAATATAATAATAAATATAATATATTTATTTAATTTTTATTTTTTTAAAAAATAAAATTTTAAATCCATAAATTAAACCTAACTCGCTCGACGCTCACAGCCTCACATTGAGCCGAGAAACGCCTTTTTTCGCTTTCGCCTCACGCTCACTCTCACTCTCTCACTCTTCTCGGTCGATGTTTACCTCACTGTCTCCGACTGTCCATCTCTGTCTCTGTCTCCATCTTTCTGTCTTCATGCTTGGCTAGTGGGACCGGTTCCATGGATTCACCTGGGAACCGGACCGGCGGTCCGGTCCGGTTCCCGGGTGGTCGATGGAACCAACGGGCAGTTTCCAGTTTTAATTTTTCGGAACCGGTCCTTAGTGGGCGGTTCCTGATTCTAGGGTGGGAATCGCCCACCCGGACCATGCTTACTCCTAAACTAGAGTGTATTCAACCAGCAATAGACGCGCCTTGGTTAGTACCTCGCTAGCTGCGTAATTGCCCCAGGCGCAAAGATAACCAGAGTGTATCAGCAGCAAGAAAAACTGAATATGTAGGAAGGAATTACCAATGAGAACGCCTTCTTTAACGTCCAAATAGTAAAAATCATCCTCGTCTTTGCCTATGCTGATGCTATTCATTGGTAGAGCGCACTCCCATACGTGGTGCTATAGACTCCTTTATTTTCTTGCTCAAAAAGCAGATTTTGGTTTTGAATTCGTAGGATGGGTATAGAGTGTTGAAGTATTGCCAGAGCGTTAGCTTATATGCTCTTCATATCCATCTTGGTAGTGTCAGTTCAGTCGGTTAAATACAAGGATTGTGAGGCCACTATGTGTGGCAAGAGTGGTCTGAACGTAAGCTATCCCTTCTATGTTCCTGGAAGTGGGAAGGAACTTTGTGGCTACCCCGGGTTCGAGGTTAGCTGCGAAGGAGGAGAAACTATGTATGGCAACTTCTCCATCCGAAGCCTCTCTTATGAGAAGCAATCCTTTGAGTTAGCAAGTCGGTATATGAACGACACCGGTTGCTTCGTTCCTCATCCCAAAACCCATTATCGCGATAAGCTCTTCCAGAACTCCAGTTTCGAGTATTACCTATGGTTCTTCTATGGCTGCGCTGATACATTTTCTACAAACTACCCTCTCTCTTGGCTAAATTGCGCGTCTGATCATTCGAATTAAACGTTGGTTACGCTAACACGTAAGGGAGAATGGCCATTACCGAAGGATGGATTCTGTCATATGACCAGTACGATACCAGTTGATGAATTGAAGGTGGGAATCTCTAATCCAACCATTAAGAGCGTTGACTACAGGAAGCTCCTGAAGGATGGGTTCACATTGAACTGGACATTGTTGACCAATAAGAGTTGTGCCAAGTGCAAACACGGTGGAGGCTGATGTGGTCGATCGAACGAGAAAGACTTTGTTTGTTATTGCTCTGCTGGATCCAATCACGAAAAATGAGATGCTGGTAAGTTACCAGGACTCGCTGCAATAATCAAATCCTTTGGCCTGATTTCCAATTTTATTGGTCAAGTGTAATCTCAGAACTTCCCGGTGTTTGGTCACTAGCGTCAATTTACGAATCTACATGTCTTAAGTTCCTCAACAATGTCGCATATTTATCATCTATTTTTCGCCCTCGTACTGTCTCTGCTTTAATTTGGCAGGTAAAAGTAACAGCTTACTGAAGAAAGGAGCCATTTGTAAGTAACATATACTTTATTTCTTAGCCATGCATATGTATTAAAATCAAGACTTTTGGCACGGTGCATGCCTTCCAGAAATCAAAATTCCTATTCATTTACCATTTACGAAGGAGCTTTCACTATAGAAATGAATGTTTCCTGTTTTATATATACTTAGTACTTCCTTTTGGTCACAGTTGCTTCATTCTGTGGGGTGGGTGCTGTTGCAATGGTCCTACCATATCTTTGTAAACAAAAATTTTGCGATCAGAAATCCATGGTTCCGTGGAGCAAGAAGATGAATGGGTTAGATCAATTTGAGGTCATTTTCGAAAATCATTGTATGCCAATGCGGAGGAGATATTCTTATGCTGAGATCAAGAGAATGACAACTCATTCAAAGAAAAGCTTGGCCAAATAGGGTACGGATCTGTGTACAAAGGCAATCTCTGTAATGGTCGTCTTGTGGCAGTGAAAATCCTAAGCAAATTAAGAGGAGATGGTGAAGAATTCATCAATGAGGTAAACAGTATAAGCAGAACTTCCCATGTCAACATTGTTAGTCTGCTAGGTTTCTGCTTTCACAAAACCAAAAGGGCCCTTGTCTATGAGTATATGACCAAAGGATCTCTGGAGAAATTCGTATACGAAGAGAACTACAGCAAACTAGGTCGCTGCCACCTCGGATGGGACACCTTGTACCAAATCTCCCTAGGTAGACATGGCCACGGGCCGGTTTTGGCCCGGAACCGGCCCGTTGACCGGGCCCGTGGTTCGTAACCGGAACCGGCCCGTGGCTACGGGCCCGGTTCCGGTTCCAAAAAAAAAAAAAACTGCTGGGGACCACCGCGGGAGACCTAAAAGAAGAACCTCCTCCTCCTCCGCCGAAACAGCCGCTTCTTCTTCTTCTTCTTCTGCTCGCAGTTGCAGCTCCGCACCAGTCACTGAACCCCCGCTCGCCAAAGCCGAGCACTCCCATGTCGCTGCCGCAGCCGCCGCCGCCGCGAGATTGAACGCCGTCTAGAGTCCGTCGATGGCGAATTCGAGGAGGCCCTCGTACTCCGCGGCGGCCGGCCCGGCCATCAGCTTGGAGAGCGGGCAGGGCGGCGCCGCCGCGCAGGCCTCGAGGCCCCCACGTTCCCACCCCCACCCACGCCCACCTCCTCCAGTCCTCCTCCAAATCCCTTCTTCCCCCCTCTTCCCTGCGCCTCCTCCGGTCCTCCCCTTTTCTCCTCCGCCCGCCCCCCATCTTCCCAGATCTGACCCCCGCCGCCGTCGCCCCCGCCCATGGCCGCAGCCGCCGACGCCGACGCCCCCTCCTCCTCCCCCCTCGCTACCCTGCGCCTCCTCCCCTTTTCTCCTCCTCCCCCTTCGAACCGGAACCGGAACCGGCCCGGAACCGCCGGTTCCGGTTCATACATGGCCACGAACTGGAACCGCCGGTTCCGAACCGGAACCGCCGGTTCCTGAACCGTGGCCATGTTTGTCCCTAGGCATTGCTCAAGGACTTGAATACTTGCAGCGAGGCCGCACCTTGAGAATATTACACTTAGACATAAAGCCGCACAACATTCTTCTCGACGAAAATTACCACCCCAAGATCTCTGATTTCGGCCTTGCAAAAATATGCCATGGAGACGAGAGCACCATCTCACTATTTGGTGCACGAGGGACCGTGGGGTTTATTGCCCCGGAAGTATTTTGCAGGAACATTGGTGGAATATCTCACAAATCGGAAGTGTACAGCTTTGGGATGACAGTGCTCAAGATGGTCGGCAGGAGGAAAAACACAGTGGCAGGTGCCGATTGAACCAGCGAAGTATACTTCCCACATTGGATTCACAAGCGTCTCGAACTTCAGGAAGAACTTGGAAGAATATTGTGAATGAAGGAGACAGAGAGAAGGCTAGGAAGATGATAATAGTGAGCTTGTGGTGCATACAGACCAATCCTTCAAATAGGCCGACAATGAGTGAGGTGGTGGATAAGTTAAGAGGCAGTGTTGACTGCTTGCAAGTTCCTCCCAAGCCCTATTTGTCTTCTCCATCAAGATCATCACCAACCACTTCAATGTCCATGATTGTGTGAAAATTGTTCGTAAGAATACTTTTATAACCACTGAGAGCTTTAAATTCCATGCAATGAGCGACTTGTATACAAAGATCGCTAGATAAGTGTACTAGAATTTTCCAACTATTATTTGTTGAACGTATTGAGGTTGAAGCTGACTCAAGTTATATAATGCCAAGTCATTAATTGTACAAGAGCATCTTAACATGAATTTGCATCTAATGCAGCTCTATGTCAGTATTCAGTGTCAAGTTATGTCTGTATTAGCATAATCTACTAACTCCACAACCTGAATGTAGGATAGGACACTTTCCTGCCAATGGGAAGTAAAAGCATTATCCCCACAGAAGGCACCAAACATTTGCTCCTCAACTTTGGAATGAAACAAACATGTTCGTGCTAACTATGCCTAACTGTCACCCAATCTACAGTAATCTTCTTATTTAATCTCCCACAAATTTGGAAGCAAGATTGAATTTAATCAAGGGGGAAACAACAAAGACCATTCTTTTAAAACAGGACATGTAAATAGGATCAGGCAAGTACTGAATATTCGCTTCATGACGAAGACACGAGCTGGCAGTAAGTTGCATCGCTGAGCTGAATATTCGGAGTGTGTTGTTTCTGCCATGCTCGTTTCATCTGCCTTCAGTTGTGGAAAGAGTAAAACTATTGGCAGGACATTTCTTCCGGCTTTGTCTGGAGGAACCGTGTCGGTGGCTGTTTGCCTTTCGGTGAATGCAGGTTTGTTCGGACTAGGAAGATCCACAAGTTCACCGTTAAGCATTGAAATAACAGTTGAAATGGTAGGCCTATCTTTTGCAAGTTCTTGCGTACAGAGTAGCCCCACTTCTATGCTCCTTAAGCCCTCAACTTCGAAGCATCTCACAGATATGTTTGAATACACTAGTGCTAGAACATCCTCTTCCTTCCACAATTTCCATGCCTGCAAAAATGAAGAATGAATCCGAGTCTGATTATTCTTTGAATTTGAGTTGATGGAAATAGATCGAGTTCTTTGTCGGTAACAGCTAAGGAATCCTAACAGGCTCAAGGATTGATCTTCCCCATTGAAGCTAGTGTTCTGTCTTCCACTTATGATCTCAGGCAATAGTACCCCGAAGCTAAAGATATCTGATTTTGCCGGAAACTGCCCTTCCATTACATATTCTGGAGCCATGTAACCACTGCATTTCATGAAACATGTCCATATTCTTTATGCATGCTATTAGGGAAAAGAAATCGGTCCTAGATTCATGATGAAAGAGGCACTAACTAGGTTCCCACAACTCTCACAATACCTGCTGGATCTTCTTTGTCCCCAAACATCCTACCCCTTCCAAAGTCTGAAATTTTTGGATTGTGCTCTCCATCCAACATGATATTACTCGCCTTAAGATCTCTGCGAATTATACGTAGTCTAGAGTCCCGGTGAAGATATAGTAGGCCTCAACAAATTATATCAGCAATGTTAAGCCGTCTTCAGCAATCCAATTGCTCTTGTTTGAGTGGATCTGAATTAGGCAATAAAAGTGAAATGCATAAGAAGTACAAATGTAAACTGAAGAATGTGAAGTCTGTGCAATAGTATAGCCAGATGCTGCTTAAATGGCTAAAATTGACTTGGCATAAATTGGTTCTTGATGATAGACTTAACAAATAGAAATGCATCTAGACCCTTGTTTGTCGTGAACTCGTTAAAATTTCGGGGTACAGTATGAGGACAATTTTGTATTGCCCCTAAATATTAGTACACTCATTCTTAATACCTATTATTTTCATCACTTTGTTGAATGCATGGATGTAAATGATTTTGCCCCACAAGTTATTCTATTAAACCTATAAATACGTACTCCATGTTCAAAATAACCTGCGAGGAAGCGTTGGAACTCGTCGTGAACTATTGGTCAATCCGATATAACTAAGATTGTTGCTGTAAGATATCAGGGCACGTTGTAAGCTATTGCACTATCGTAAGTTACTTACTCTGGTGATAAGTTAGTATTACTACCTTCTAAGCAGAGAATATGTTGGTAAGCTATTAATTTCAGTGGTAACTTACTATTCAAGTCGTTAAAATTTAGTTTTCAATTGTAAATTTTTATGAAAAAACCTAATAAGTTACTATTACATTGACGGTCCTAAGTAGGATTGTAAATCACTAACTCTAGTGATAACTTTTACTACATCAGAAGGTAGACCTATGTTGGTGAGCTAGTATTTTCAGTTAACTTACAATTTAAGCTATAAGATTCAGTTTTGAGTGGTAAATTTATAGAAAAAATTAGTAAGTTACCATCACATTGATGGTATTAATGGTATTCAGTTGAATCGTAAATTACATACCTGATAATAACTTACTATTTCTATCTTAAAAGGTGAAGTTATGTTCAGAAGCTATTAGTTTCATTGTTAATTTACTATTAAAGCCATTTAGATTTAGCTTCATATTGTAAATCTATAAAACAAAAAAACATAACAAGTTACTACTATATTAATGATTGTAAGTCACTAACGCAGTTCGTAAATTATAATTGGTAACCTGACCAACATGTTAAAATTGCACAACACAATGGTTGAAAAATTACTATCAATGATAAAAATTTGTCACGACCTGCAACCAACAAGAATGTCCTTTGACCTGAAAGATGCAGTCTCATTTAGAAACCAACGTGTTATCAAATTATATATCTCCATCCACACACATGCACACGAATATATATGTCGGCTAGTCGATTACAACGTTAGAGTATTTATAATCCATCAAAAAGAATATGTATATCTCCAACTAACAACTAAATCTAGCAAACTCATTTCAGTCGTATACAGTTGAGAAATATACCACTAACTAAATTCATAGTAAAAAATTCCCCTATCAAAAAGCCCCAGCGATAACACGAACGCTCTCGTTTTATTTGCTAAGAGTGTGCAAAAGAACCGAAAATTGCCTCGATCGCCCAAATTCGAACCAAACTGGTCTAGCATCGGCAGTTCTTATGGGGATCAGTTCGGTTCCCAATTCTAGATTTGAACCCGCTGACCTGGACCGGACTGATACATATAAATATATATTTAATTTCAGCCCTCACACCTTTTACGGTCCTCAAATGACATATATAAAAGACTATTACGCCTTTTACAGAAAGAAACCCTAGTCAGTCCTCCGTCTCCTCATCTCACGTTATCTCCCTCTCACGCCTTCAACTCTCGGTCCGTCAGTCGCCTCACCTCTCAGCAAGTCAACTGAGCTGTCAATCTCACATCCGGCTCTCTATCGCAGTATCACAGTTGCGGCCTTGCCTCCGGCCCTCCCTAGCAGTCACGACCTCGACTCCCTCTCCTTGTCCATCATCCTTAATCTTCTGGTGTTTTCTTTTAGGTCATTTTGTCTTTTCTTTCCCCAAATTTTTCTTAGGAGAAATATTCAGAGGAAACAGTGGTCCTCAGCAGAACGACCTCGCCTCCGGCCCTCCCTAGCGGCCACGACCTCGACTCCCTCTCCTTGTCCATCATCCTTAATCTTCTGGTTTTGATTTTCTTTTAGGTCATTTTGTCTTTTTCTTTCTCCAAATTTTTCTTAGGAGATATATTCAGAGGAAACAGTAGGTGAGCAACAACTTTCCCAGTAGAGCTATAGCTTTTGGATGGATTTTGGTTTTCTTTCAAGAAAAATTCAATCTTGTTGTTGGGTTTTTGTTTTCATGTCCGTAGAGATGATGATTGAAGTGTCTCTTCTCTCCAAATGAGTTTCTCTGTTCTCCTCCAATCGAACCATGTGAGCGTGTCTTTAATATTCCTTTCTGTTTTCTTTAGTTGCCCCTAAAGATTTCTCTCTGCTTTATGATTTTTGTGTGGAACGTATTCGAACGCTCAATGGTGTCATTGTGTTACTTTACTAAAATGGTGGGTGAGATCCTATCTTCACATTTCTTTACAATTTCACTTTCCTACCCGGACTCCTCTTGATCATCTCTCTCTCGAACTTGATGAGTTCCTTGGACCCACCCGATAATCGAATTCGATCGGTAGTCCGGTTTTTGGGTGGGTCTAGGAACCAGTCGGTGGTTCCCGATTCCAAGATGGGAACTGCCAACCCTAGAACTTATCACCTCTATTATTTATCACTAATCGAGGAACCTGAAAAACATGTAAGACAAATGAAATGAGCAATCACGTTAAATCTCTTCTAAGCAAATTGAGTAACCACTATTCTATTTAAGACACAAGAATGTAATTCATCTACACCAATTCTAGAATATACAAAACTTACAAGATCAAAATGAATTATATATCATTTCAACATAACTATATTCATAGTAGAAACACCTATTTCATCAATAATATTAAAACAAGTATCAATGGTCAGTCCACTAATTAATCTCGTTAAATCACATGTCAATTGTTCATTCCATTGACCAATCTCGCGCTCAAGTATCTAACTATGATCACGCTTAACACCTTGTGATAAATGCGATCAAGATTCCTCCTTAGTCTTGGCTAGGTTTTCACCTGTATTGCTGATGGCTGGTCCACAAGGATATGCATATCCATAAACCCCTTAATAAGCTCACAAAGACACTGAATATCAACATTAACCCACAATATCCTTCAAAATCCACAAAACTAATCTAGAATCTATATTATAAATCAGTTTTACAAACCAAAACTTATTATCTTTTGCAACTCAGTTCATCCGCCAGAAATACTTTTTGCAAAGTATCTCTCAAATCATTTCAGAATTCATTTTACAAACCAGATTCGCAAAGCAGTATGTGTATATCATTTCACAATACCTTTTCTAAAACTATTCTCAAACCATAGTAAACAGTAGTAAATGCTTAATTTAGACTTTTATGCAACAAAAGTGTCATTTGATAATTCATACTGTATATAATTCATATTGCTTTCAAAATATGAGTTTACAAATTTGAAGAAGAGATAACACCATTCACCTGGAATGTGCAAAACCAAACAACGTAGCTATATGAGCCGACGATCTCGTAATCCTATTAATCTCGGCGTCACAACTAAGAAAAATATCAGCTCAACTACGAATCGACTAAACTAAGCTTAATCGCTAACAAAATAACTCCTACTCATCAACAAATTGCTCGCCCAAAGCAGATATTCAAAGTTATATGTGGAGCTCGAGCGCAAAGCTTTAGAATTTCACTGCGACTAAACTATTACTTCAATCAACTCTCGTTAAACCCTACGGCTTCACAATGCCCTAATCTATGATTTCTATGTAATGTAAGAATAATGTGGCCCACATGATGTTATGAATTAATGGTTTAATAAATATTTAAGTGCTAAAATGTATTGGCTATGAAAAACAGATGAAAATTTGTAATTCTATCGAGAAGTTAAAGTTCCTGTGAAAATGTGCAACTCTTATGAAGTGGGATATGCTTTGATGGAAGGCACCACTTGAAGGGGTATATATAAATAGAGTCTGGTCCTCTCTCCACCCACGATAACGTACGAAAAGAATGTTATATTTTTATCCTCCATCGATAAGATACATTAAGAGAAAAGTGGGTTAAGGGAGAGAAATCAGATTTCTTCGTTTCTTCCGTTTTTTGCAACAATTATCTTCAAGAGAAACGCTATGGATAAATGTATGTCTTCATCCCTCTTATTGTGAAAATCATGAAGATCTAAGATCCTAGATTTCATAAATTTTTCGCATAATAGGATTACGTTATAACTTACAGTTGGTATCAGAGCGAGGTTTGGGATCTCATGATTTTCCGATTATGGTTTCTGGGTTTGGATTCGCCAAATGATGTTGGTATTTTTGTTATAAATCAAAGTGGTTGAAATGATTTCATGTTTCGATTCATTTCGTCGAATCTTGGACCTATGTGATGGTGCCGGCGTGGTCTTCAAAAGCCACTCATTAATTTGGTCGGAGATGGGCTGTTGGAAGAGACCTCGATGACGGAAGGCGCGGCGGAACAGGACACAAAAAAAACGAATGGACGCGATGAAGAAGGCGCGTGGAAGCCATGCGCGTTGCAGTTGCAGGCACGTGGATCCACGCGCCAAGCGCATGACGCACGCCGTGAAGGAACTAGCGCGTGTGACGCACACGCCTGCGCATGCATAGGCGCGTGGGCCCCACGCGCCCACACGGCAGTTTAGGCGCATGCACCGCATGCTCCTTCTGCACTCTCCGCCGGTTATTTACGGTTTTGCCCTTCTCCGCATGATTTTACAGTTCTGCCCTTGACCATTTTATTTACTGTTTTGCCATTGATCGAATTATTTACCATTTTGCCACTGGCTGCTGAATTTACGGTTCTGCCCCTATCGATTCTGATTTTACAGTTTTGCCTTTATGCATTAATTTACGGTTTTACCCTCGGCATGCAATT